GGTTCATGGAGAGGATTCAGGGCATTGATAAACTTGGATGGGAAAAAATATTACATCTTTGTTTTCACTAGTTTCTGATTGAAATTTAGCATTTTTGGGTGCCTGGCTGGCTCAGTCAGTGGAACATGTGACTCTTGATCTCGGGGTCATGAGTTCGAGCCCCACCTGGGGTGTAGAGATTACTTACAATCAAGCAAAAAAGAAATTTAGCATTTCTTTTCCATTAACAAATCATTAGTATTAGCAGTATCTGTGACTTTAGCACTTGTAGAACTCAGTTAATTTCATATCACTTGTATAGATGTAGACATCTTGACATATTATGCTCCTCACCTTTTGAAAATTATAGTATTAAATTTGCTGTTAGATCTTATAGATTAATGCATTAATAAAGAAGCATGTGTATTACTCTTGCACTGATTTGGATTTTCAGATTTTGATGCCTACATTTCATTATATTTGATCTCTTTTGATTTCCGATTTATTTTATGCATTTAAATCCATAGGCCCCCCCCCAAATGCTAAGGGGGATCCATGGATAAAAGAAAGGTTAAGAATCCCTAATCTAGATAAAGGTTCCCTGTGCCCCATCTCCTTGCACTTCTCTCATTATTATTTTATTATTTTTTAAGCTGTGTGCCCAACGTGGGGCTTGAACTCAGGACCCCAAGATGAAGAATCACATGCTCTAATGACTGAGCAGCTAGGCCCTCCCCACCCCCCTTTGAATTTCTCTCTTACTCCTTTTTCTCCCTCTTGCCTGAGAACGCCTCCATTTGTCTCCTTAGTTTGTTGTGCCTGTGCACACATCTTGGCCCCTTGCTGTGTTCATTATCCCCATCTCGTTTCTGTTTTGTTTTTTTTTCTTTTCTAACATGTATCTTGTTTTAATACTTTGCAGAAATGTATGTAGATAAAAACCTCAGTATTTTATAAAATATAACTAATGCCTTAACCTCTAGTATGTGTAGTCTTTGTGTAATCATTTTTGTTACTTGAAGATTTGGGATAATCAGGGAACACTACTATTGATTGATTGATTGTTGTTTTGTGTGTGTGTGTGTGTGTGTGTGTGTGTGTGTTTTAAACTTTAATTCCAATATGGTTAACATACAGTGTTATATTCGATATACATGTACAATATAGTGATTCAGCACTTCTATACATTACTCATTGCTCATCATGGTAAATGTTCTCTTAATCCCCATCACCGTTTCACCCATTCACCCTCCCCGACCCACCTCCTTTGTAGTAACCATCAGTTGTCTGTAGTTAAGAGTCTTTTCTTGGTTTGTGTCTTTCTCTCTCTCTCTCTCTCTCTTTTTTTTCCTTTGTTCATTTGTTTCTTAAATTCCATGTATGGGTGAAATCATATGATATTTATCTTTCTCTGACTTTTTTCACTCAGCATTATACTCTCTAGATCCATCCATGTTGTTGCAAATGGCAGTTCATTCTTTTTATGGCTAAATAATATTCCATTGTATATATCACCTCTTTATCCATTCATGTATCAGTAGACACTGGGCTGTTTCCATAATTTGGTTATTGTAAATAATGCTGCAATAAACAGGCACATGTATCTTTTTGATTTAGTGTTTTCATATTCTTTTGAGTAAATACCCAGTAGCGGAATTACTGTATTGTATGGTAATTTTATTTTAAAGTTTTGGGGGAAGCTCCACACTGGTTTTCACAGTGGCTGCACCAGTTTGCATTCCCAACAGTACACAAGGATTTTAAATAAGAAATTTATTTATTTATCTATTTGTTTATTTTTTTATTTAAAGAAAGGGACAGTGCCTGGCTGGCTCAGTTGGTGGAGCATGTGACTTTTCATCTTGGGGTCTGGAGTTTGAGCCCCACTTTGCATGTAGGGATTACTAAAAAAAGTGCTCAAGGATTCTTCACATCCTTGCCATCACTTGTTGTTTCTTGTGGTGTTAATTTTAGCCATTCTGAAGGTATGAGGTGATATTTCATTGTGGTTTTTGACTTGCATTTCCCTGATAATGTGTGATGTTGAGCATCTTTTCATGTGTCTTTGGCTATCTCTATGTCGTCTTTGGAGAAATGTCCATGTTTTCTGCCCTTTTTTAAAAATTTTGTTTTTTATTTTAGAGAGGATGAGTAGGGGAGGGGCAGAGAGAGGGGGAGAGAGAATCTGTAGAGCTCAATCCCACGACCCTGGGATCGTGACCTGAGCTGAGATGAAGATTTGGATGCTCAACTGACTAAGCCACCCAGTTGCCCCTCTGCCCATTGTTTAATTGTGTTTTTGTTTTGTTTTGTTTTGTTTTTTTGGTGTTGAGTTGTAGAAATTCTTTATTATTTTGGATACTTAAAAAAAATTTTTTTTAATGTTTATTTAAAAAAATTTTTTTTTAACGTTACTTATTTTTGAGACAGAGAGAGACAGAGCATGAATGGGGGAGGGGCAGAGAGAGAGGGAGACACAGAATCCGAAGCAGGCTCCAGGCTCTGAGCCATCAGCCCAGAGCCCGACACGGGACTCGAACTCACGGACCGTGAGATCGTGACCTGAGTTGAAGTCGGACGCTTAACCGACTGAGCCACCCAGGTGCCCCTTTAATGTTTATTTTTAAGAGAGACAGTGTGTGAGCAGGGGAGGGGCAGAGAGAGAGGGAGACACAGAATCTGAAGCAGCTTCCAGGCTCTGAGCTGTCAGCACAGAGCCTGACGCAGGGCTCAAACCCACAAACCGTGAGATCATGGCCTGAGCCAAAGTC